TATCTTTCGCATTCAAAGACACTATTTCAGACTTATGGGACACGTTATCGCTTTGTGCGTCATCGCAGGCCTGCACGCCAGGATTGGGAGGTGCGGCCGTACAACTCTGTGTACAGCGATCGTACAAACAGTGGCCAATCAATAGCTTCCGTTTGTTTAACTCAATCCCCCATCCTGATCATGAGTAGCTCCCTGCGTGTACACACTTGATCCGCAATATACTCACTGAATAAACGTGCTCCGTGCATCACGTCTGTTTCCTTTATAGCTGGGCTATAGCTTAGCTGGTTCTGGGGGTCTAGCTAGATATTGGAGAATCTGCCATAGAGATTTCTGAGTCGGTCAGGCTATACTAGCGTAGCATTCCGCTACGGACTTTTCTTAGCAATGAGAGTACTTGCGCCGTTTGCAGGCACGTGGACTTTAAATAGATTGGACCCAAGAATCGCCTTCAGTAAAACAAATTTGAATATTATCAGATGCTTATCATTTGGGCGTTGATTGATTTATTCATTGCCAAAGTATAAGCCAATAGGTTGAAAAATCTGGTATTGGACAATTGGCATGCATGCCTATTAAATCATTAAATGCAGTAATTAAATCAAGTTAGCATACTCTTTACTCATTCCTTTTCAAAATTAATTTAAAAATGATTTCATTTAACGTCCAGTAACATTTTAGAATTCATTTTGTCCACAAATTCACCAAAATAATAAATTAATTCGGTTTTATTTATGGAGGTATTTATGTAGGAAGTAGAAGTATCTCTAATCTCTCCGTAAATGTTAGAAAAAATAAAAACTAAAATTTTACATTAAGTAAACAATAAAATTTACTCTAAAAACCAACTAATCGATTTGGCTAAGTACTCTTTTTTTGAAACACTCAAATTTGATTTAAAGGCCAAAATATAACTATTTTCTACTAAGGTAACCACCGGTTTTTTGCAACTAATAATGGATTAGAAAAAAGAAAAAGATCAATGTTTCGCCAAGACTTACCAAAGACCCACCAAGCGATGAGCAATTCAATTCTATTGGGATCCGGCCCACGCGTCATCTGCCTTGACTCGAGAGCTTTTATGGACTGTCCGCCTGTTGAAGCAATTAGAAGTAGGATAAGAAAGATGGCGATTGACGCGCTATGATTGACAAATTTAATGAGCGGTGAGCGAAGAATGCGGGCCACAGAGCCTCGAGGGTACGCTAAGTAAACTATGGCCAGGAAAGGTAGAGCAAGAACGAATCCAATGCAGAGCAGGAGTTTGCAGATCGGATGATTTTTCCGCCAGCCGGGTAATTGGTCATACCACAGTGTTGTAAGAATATGTTGACAGTGAGGATGAGCCACAAACTAGAAAGGAAATAAATGCAAAAATTGAAAAATTCAAGGCATTTTTTTAATATTGGAGGCACCTGGATGAATTATCGATTTTTTAATCACTTCAGCACTATATAAATAAGTTACGACAAATAATCGCTATACATATGCCCATACTAATGACGCAGATTTATTCTTTCAAATTAATTGAATTTAGAAGCCCGGCTAACCATAGTTAATGATAAATTATCCTTGTAAAAATCAAAATAATACTTTTAATCAATTATAATAAAACATATCATGAATAGATGATGGAGCAAATATAGATAAGTAAGCTTAAAAGTGGTTGGGAGAACAGAGAGAAATGTTGGAAAAAATATTCGTTAACAAGGCTCGATTGGACAGTTATAATCTTTATTGTTTTTTTAAATAAGTGTGCAGACTAGAAATAACTTGATCGGTTCATTCTTCATACGCTTTTACATAATTGTACTTGCATTGCTTATTGCTTTTAAGTCGTATAAGTGATTTTACCTTTAATGCTCCCATTAGTCGTTAATTGCATTTGGCAATATTTTCTTGGTACTATAAATACCATTCTAATTTTGTTTAGCTTGCGCAATTTTTATAAATTAAAGGGTAGAAACATTTATATTATATGAAATAAAGAAACCATGATCCCGCATATTCAATTCTGGATGGAACAAAAAAGTAAAAAAAAATGTTTTTTAATTTACCACAAAAATTTATGAAATTTCTGGTGCAAAATCCACCTGTCCATGTAAATATAATTAAAGTAAGCCATATTTATTGCGATATGAGTAAATTGAATAGCTTATCAAATACTTAGAATCTAAAAATTATAAATTTAATTTAGGCATGAGCTCAAAAGTATGCTCACATGTAAATATAAAGTTAATACTCATACTAATGGAAATAAAATTTGATCATTAAAATTACCACGTGTTGTCTATCTGGAAATTAAACGAGGAGCATAATTACATCAAATAAACTTGACTGAGTCGAACTCGATTTATTCCGTTCCAAAAATTCGGCGATTTCAAATAGAAATACTTTGTTACTCGAATATTTATAGCACTGATAAAAGCAGCTTTATGCTCCAGTTGGCACTTTGAAATTGGACATTTTCTCCAATAGTCTGATTCTATTATTTATTTATTTATTGGGGTGTGCGATAGACTTACCTCCACGTGGTGCATCTGGGCAACGTATACTCATACGGCAAAAAAGCCTGTAAACTGACTTCTGACTTCAAACTACCATCACCTCACTCTATGTTATATTCGACTATTTCCACAGTATTCACCTCACCTTTGTTCTACCTTTATGTTTGTCTCTTACATCTTTGAAATACTCTTCTGTTCCCCCCCCCCTCTCGACTTTTTTCAATTAGATGTTCCTTCCTCTCTGTGAAGCCTGAAGTCAACTAAAGAGCTAATGATAACCATCAAGACGCCTGCCATTTG